TCTATTTACATACGTTGTGAATCTAAGTGTTAATAAAAGTTTGCCTTAGTTTCACGTGTTTGGCTGGAATTTTTTTTCATTGACTGCCTGATGAAAGTTCACATCTACTCTTAGGCCACCATTTTAACAGTTGTCAGTTCACTTGCAGGTTAAATTTAACTACAAAAAAACTTGTGGGAAAAGCCTCTACCCAGAACAGAGCACCATGCTTCTTATCTTTCAGTATTCTCAGAGGATAAAAAAAAGTAAAATGATCTCTGAATTTTCCAGTGGACACTTGCACTGCGCATGTCACTTAATGGTTTTGGAAAAAGAAACTCTTACAATCCTTAAACTCAAGTATTACTGCATCCACTGCTTATGAAATGACCCCTGGGCCTCTGATGTGCACACTTACATACCAAAAGGAACATGACTTCACTTCTAATTTGGGGAGTTTTTAATGTGTCTCAAGAGGAGATTCGTGAGCACACCTGTGAAGAAAATTCCCTTTTTCTCATTGTATCTTTAACATGCAAGTACTGATACGTCAAAGAAACAGCATGGCGAACATTGACGTGCTGGCACCTGTCATACACTTTGTATACGTGCTGTGTGGTACAGCTTCATGCTCTTAGTTCTCTTTCCTATTCCTTGCACTCTCCATCTGGATGCTTTCAGATTAATTGTTAGAAAAGTCCTCTCTCTGGAGAACACCCCCCACCACCGGGGCCTGTTGCTGTTTCAGGTGTTCTGCACCTGCTCGTTCTCCTTCCCTCACATCGTGAGTAACCCAGTCCTTTGGCAATGATTAATTTAAACAGCCTAAAACCTCTTTTCCGCTAATGAAATACAATAAATAAATATAGTTGTTCTTTCATTACCGTAGTCTCTGGCCATCTGAAAGTATTTCACTCAGCTGGCAGAAATGATGCAAAATTTCTATTTCCTTGAAGTAATAAAGGGAAATCTGTTCTTTAATAAAATGAGGAGGGATAGCTGTCAGATGCAGTTTTGGAGTCTACCATCTACTGAAAACATGAGTCCAGACGTGTGCTCTTGAAGATGCAGACCCCTGTGCTAAAGGAGAGTAGCACCGTCAGAGCAGCTCTGGGAAATTCAGAGCAAATCGCTTTCTCAACAAATACAATCTTTGTTTCTCCTCAAAGACTGCTCGAACAATGGTTAAGTCTGAAGGTAGTAGTCATGTACAAAAGTTTACTCTGGTTCACTTAGGGTAGAGTGCAGCTCCAGTGCCCCAAACACGCATGCAAACACCGAGTCAAAGCACACCGTGGTGTCCCAGGGCCTACACGTCCTGCTTGCCTCTCGCTGAAACCAGAGCGGAGGGGCAGGGCTGGCATGTGCGCGGCTCTCATGCTGGGGGAGCAATCTTCCAAAATAGCAGGCTTTTGCCAAACTCTGCTCCCACTGAAGACACCACGAACGTTCCGGTTGATTTCACTGTGGCAAGAGTTGAGTCAGGGCCTTTTACTATTGCATCCTACATGAGGAGTTTGAAATATTTCTTGTCGTGCAGTCAAACAGAATAATCGTACCGGCATTTAAATGTGACTGGAAGGCATGGCCAAATTCTTTTCTGGCTCGTTTAACCTTCCTAATGCCAGGATTCATATGGAGGTTTCTATAAAGACTATACGGGGCTGTGTCAAACACAATCCTTTCCCATACAATAGAGACTTTTTCCAGGATATATACTGAAGCAGATGAATTGAAAACTTAGTTCCTGTGAGCAATCGTGCAGGTAAAATGTAACTGCTTAAAACCAGACGTAGCAAGAAAGCACAATCAGGAAGAATCTGTGTTTAAGTTTCTGTAAACACCTGGGGCTATGTTCTGTGGGGGATTTTCTGTTTCCTCTCACTAGTGATTTCAAAATAAAGTACAGATTACTCTTCGTATGGTTTTCACTCACACTCTGATACGGATGCACAGGCAAAATGCCTGTGTGCCATAATGGTTAAAGACATGTGACAAAGATACAATAATGCATTTTGTATAAAAAAATAAAACTGCAGACCTATAAAGATGTTTGACCTTGTTGTCCTCTAATGTTAAGCCTGACCATACTTCCTAAAGAGATAATGAAAGTATGTGGAGTAATTGAGATTTCATGGCATTCCTCCTTCAAAAACATTAAAGGTATGGTCTGTATCTGGGTTCTAACCCCGCTGAGCTGAGACAGCCACTAATTCTGTCAGTTCTGCCCCACCAACATATGCAAACAGCTCAGCATAATTGGAACAACCTCATATTAACTATCTTTTAAGGAAAAACTCTTAAGCTATATTCTTTTCAGCTCTAATTACCTTGAAATTACTTTGATGATAACAAAGTGGCACATTTCTGTCTGGTGCTGAGATCACTTAAAATGGGACATGGAAAACAAAAATTGTGCATCCTGAGGGATATCACAGCATTTGCCTACAATAATTACAGTAACTTTTATTGGGTTTTATGCTAAAATTTCACATAAATAGTACTGCTAAATGTTACTTACCTAATTTCCATTTCTTGCTATCTTAATTGCTACAGAACGCTCAGATTTGTAAAGTCCTATCAAGGTGTATAACACAAAAGCACGTTCAATATATGCCTTCAATAATTTCTTTGTTGTTTGAAAACTTCCAACGTACAGCAAAGCTGGCATTTTATGGCCTGCAGAGCTATAAATCATTTTTAAAATCATGATGATATTACTCAAAACAGATGTGAAAACATATGTTTGCCACGGTTGTATAAACCACTTACTTGTCATACTTAATAAATGTTGATACTTTTATTTTAACTACATTCCTTCTTAATAACTTTGAAAATATTTTCCATGGTAAATATATTTTGCCTTAGTAAAAGTAATGGCAGCTTTTCAAAAACAAAGCTTGTTCTGTATACAAATTACACGTAAACTTTTTGCTGAGCAGCCCATCACAGATCACACTCTTCAGTGATTGTCCACGTCTGACTATGAAAAATATTGAACATATTTGAGGTGCACCAGCGCCCAAAACAATTATACAGAAGAGAATAATAACAGTATTAGGGACAAAGAAACCATATGGGAGTGAGACAAGTCATTGAGGATAACAACACTTGTATGGGGTGGCAGAAAGGCCCAGTCACACAGGCTGGAGACTTTTGGAAGTGGGGTATTGACTCTGTCCTGTCGGTGCAGCCCATCAGTTACTGGGTGCTTCTATTCTATGAACCAGAGATTCCTACAGGAACTGTACTACAAGTCTGTCACATTGGCAAACACAGAATCAGCTTGGAATTGTTTTGATACACAATGTTGGTGCCTTTAAAATATCAGCATTTGTCCCAAGATAATGCTGTAAAAAGTTTTCTGTTTTGGGGCTGTGGGATTATTTGGAAATTACATCTGACAAAAACAAATAGTTTCTCATTGTCATACTTTCAGAGAAAAGCTTGATCTGTGCAGACCAAGTAGGAATCCAAAACCATTATTCTATGTTTAAAATCATAATTTAAAGCATCTTGTGATTTTGAAGCACTCTTTTCTGATGTAGGTGAATCTCTGAACTCTAAGTTTATCCTAAAAAAATCCCGTAAGTGCATGCGGAACTAACACATGTATAAAGACACATTTCCCCGTATATAATAAGTAGAAGAAAGATAATACTACGCAAAAATGTAGACCAGGACATTAATAAACCGACACAACTTTAATGTCATGGTGAATTATGGTACACAAAATGTTAGCATCAGATCTTTGTGATTTCGTACATGTTACAAGTAACGTTCAACGATCACGGGAGCCTGGGAATTGGGTTCACAGGTGGTGGAGTTTAAATTACTTTCACACTTTTGGGGATTTCTGAATTGTCTTTTCTGATTCTTAAGCTGTACCTTCCTTCATCCGCCCTGAGTGACAGGACTGCTCCTACCAATAACTACATGATTTGCATCTTCGAACCCCATAGGATAGTGAATTGTTTCTGTGAAAAATGACTAGACATGTGGCAAGAAACCATGCACAGTTCAACAAAATTAAAATCGACTACACTTTCAGATTCAGATTAAATACCTATGTAATTACTACAGAAATGTAATTTTTTAATCCTAGGAATGAATATATGGTTGATGACTGTTTGGCCTCTGGTGTTGGTCCATAAATGTCAACAGAAGTCAAGAGGGAAGGATTTAAGCATGATGATCTCAACAGAAAATTGTCTCAGAATGGCACAAAAGGGCTCTTTTGGGGTCCATGAGTAAAGTTCTTAAATGGCTGGAGAAACCAGTGAATAGAAAACAGCTCCTCCTTCCTTCAAGAGGAGAAAGAGTTGAATATGAAAATACAAAATACAGGAAGTAAGTTTCAGGCTCTTCCTAGCCATAACTGGATCAGTCACAGCTGTCTAAAGAATAGGGCCGATCATACAAAATCATGAATCTGCTCAAATAATTTTAAATAACTCTGGAACCACAGGGCACATGGAGCCTCCAAGTTCTCTTGAGTAGCTCATAAAATCGTCTATACCTGCCGTTTTAGTTTTCTCAGAAAATACATTAAATACTGAGCGCAATAATTTACACAAGCCTAAGGTGTACGAGTTTGATTTTGACAGATAATCTAAAATCACCTCAATCAAAATATAAATCAGTTTGTGTTTTCATTTACGATAAAATGTTCATATCGACAGTACACTTGTAAGTAAATTTAGCTTACACTGTCTCCTCTTTCTTTTCCTTCACATCTTTTTCACGCTGAAACTTTAGTATCTCCCTCAGTATATGCATTTGCAGTATTTTTCCAGTATTCACTTAAATTCAGCTTTCTTTCCTTTCTTTAACTATATCCAATAATTTTTTTTTGCAGGCACTCATTTTGTATGGTGTTTTCTGTACGTACTGGCAAAATAAACCTCTCACCTATGAACGGAACATTTTTGTTATATTTGCAAGGAAGAAAAATGGTTTCTTTTCTGCTCCTACAATGTCAAAGATGCTCTCTGCTCCTACAACACTTTCCCAAAGCTTACCTGCGTACACCAACACATTTGTGTTCTCCAGTACCCAACGCCCTCTCTGCAGGGAGAATCGAGGAGGCACTTCACTGCCCACAGGACAATCACTACAGGGCAAACATCACTTCTTCCCTTGCTGCCTCTCACTTGTGAGGGAATTTAATATCATTATTCATATTCTTAGACACAAAAAATTACTTCTTTCCCTCACCTATGCACCAGCATTAGAGCAGTCTGCACACACATCCACTGGAGGCAAAGAATACCATGTCAGTAATCAAGTATTTGCTAGGGACTTAATAAATAATTGAGTCAAAAGACCTGCAAAATATTAGCCTCATACTATATAAACAGAAAGAAGGAGAGATTTGATTGTTTAGACTTCCTAAGAACGCCATGTAAATTCACAGGATACATTATTCATTGCAATTAGGTTCTTAGTTCTCTTAAATTTATAATATTATGCCATCACATATGCAGAATAATAGAAAAAGGAATAAAACATCTAGTAAGTGTTATTAAATGCCTGTGATGAAAACCAGTTTGTAATTTTACCTTTCTCTTTTTGTATTTTTTTTAGGCTGGTCCCAGTTTCTTGATCAATGAGCTCTCCTTCCCTGCTGTTGGTCAGCATAGCTAAAAAAACCAGAGTGTAACACGGTTAGTGAAGAAATATCAGAAGAGAGGAAAATATTGAATTATATTTCCTCTTTGTCAGTATTTTGGTATTTTAACTTTTATTTATGCTAGATAAGTTCTAAAGCAATTGACGATTTTATTGTCCATAATCAACCATTTCACTGTTCCAGTTCAGCACTCAGAGCCAAGTAAAATATGCAGCAAAAGCAAATTTGCTCAAGTTGACTAAACAAAGATACCGAGACAGAATCCAAATTACTACTGAGATAAATGTGATTTCTTACAAACTGTTCAAATTAACTAATTAGAAAAGTACTTCACAGAAATAATTTTGGGGAAAAATACATTTAAGGATTTAAGTATTAGTAATTATCTATAAAGCACCAAGCTTAATAAAAAATATAGACAGATAGTAACCCAAACTGCTATATGACAGTGACAACACAGTATGCTGCAGTGTTGAAAGAAATTCTTTCAGGTGTTAAGTTTATGATTTCAGGATGCCTATTTTCTTTGTTCTTATATGATTAAAACATTTTCTTCTCTGCAATTAACCAATTACAGATTTTAAAGTTATTCCAGTGAGGACATGTTTTAAAAAATTCACTGACGTATTTTAGAGAAAGCTTTTTTTTCTTTTTAAATTGCAAAAGTAAAAATATATTTATATTTCTATAGATACAAAGTACATAGACATCTCTTTACAACAGCAAGCATCAGACTTCAAAACAGGGACATGTTTGGTTCAATATCAAGAAAACTTAGTTTTCTTTAAAAAACTTAGAGCACCATTTCTGGAGCCCAGAGCTTGCAGTGTGTGTTACTGCACACATTAATAAAACAAGTTAGAGCAGCTTTCAAAAGCTACCGTGAGGACAAAAGTCCCATTTTCACTGTTGCTATAGGAAGTTACATTTCTTGTCCTGGATATTTTTAGCCTTACTTTACATATGAAAAAGCTGAGGGGAATCTACTTTCTAGAGACTTCCCTGTGTGTGCATATGTTTGGGCAAAGTAGTTCAGGTTCTGTTGAGTCGTTTGTGTAGAGGCAGCTGTGCATTGCAGTGCCATGGTGCTGCTGCATGGATCTGAGTCAAAACTGCAAAATCCCAGCAAGCAGCTGAGGAGTTATTTGATGGGAGTGAAGCCTACACTGACTTACAGAGACTGCACTGTTTCTGTAGTTTAAATCTGGCTCAGCAATTCCTGCATGGGCTCCAGTCACTGTGAAGACAGCAGTGTTGACACACACCGACATGAAGAGATGTTAATTGACCTGCCCTAGATCCCTCTTGGAAGCACCAAGAATAGGATCTAAACTTCCTCTAGACTGAATTGGCATTTTAAGCACAAGATCAATAATGCACAGGCTGTGAGAGCTGTGGTGGGGAGACCACAAAAAAAAATAATCAAAAAGCCCTCAGTCTTGTGGTGATGAGGGAATGGGTGGGCATGAGGAGGTTTTTAGCAACAGAAAAGCCATCATATAAACTGACTTTTCCGACATGCATCTGAAGAAAAAGGTATCTTGCTATTTTTCAATTCCAGGTGCCCTCAGAGGCATTGCTTTACACCAGCATGCAGGAGAAGTTGGCTGTACCAGAGACGGGGTGGAATCTCCTGTGCTCGGTTGAAGACAGAATGTCACAGAATGAATCTGAGGCTCTGCACAGTGATGAACCTAATAAAATAAACCATAGTGATGAACTTTCTGGGTTTCTTTAGCAAGTGAGTGTTTTCCTGAGTTTCCCAGCAAACAAAGATTTGCCTCAACAAACTTTTAAAATTCTTGAGGCCCGTAACTGCAAAGGGGTGTGAGGCTGCAGAGCACTGACCGATTCTATCTGGTGTGTTGTCCAACTGGGATGGCGAGCTGGACACGCTGCTGCTCTGATGGGAGGAAGCGTGGCTTCCCGGCCGCTGACTGTCTTCTAGAGACGGAGCTGGAGAAGGGCTGTCTTGAATCCTTTCCTTGAAACAGAAATAAAACAAGGTCTGTACAATTTGATTCATGAACTTCACTGAAGTTCAATGAAAAAATGAAGTTGGCTAAAACAGCAATAACAAATTGTCTGTCCGAGGTTATAAATAGTGAACAGAATGCCCACTGAAAGAGAGGTATAGTCATCTATAGTTAAAAAGAGTACAGACTTCTACAGGTACTGTATCTAGGCACAGTTTTCATCCTTCGTGTCATGACATAGCATTTGGCACCTCTTTTTTTTTTTCCTTGGTAACTTTTTATTTTCTAACTTTTTCACACAGAGAAACATAAAGAACATTCTTTCATGCTGTTCATAGTTTTAATCTACAGGTAGTGAAACTGTGATATATGAGTCACATTACAAATAAACAATTCCAATTTGGAGCAAACAGTCACTATACGCAGTCACATTTGTAAACTCAAAAATCTGTGCCTGAATCAGCACCTCCTCAGGTTAGCAACCAGACAAATTTTTAAAGCTGCAGCACTGGTAGGAACTTCACTTTTGCACAAAAAGCACCACTGACTAACAAGAGTAAGAATGTGCTCGCAAATTCTTTTGTGTACCTTTGCACACAAAACTTTGACATTAACCTCTAAGTTAAATACACACAGTACCTAAACTTACAACTACCTCAAGGGAGCTTGTAGAGAGGTGGGTGCTGGTCTCTTCTCCCAGGTGATGGAGGATAGAACAAGGGGAAACGGCACCAAGCTGTGCCAAGGGAGGTTCAGGTCAGAGATAAGGAGGAAGTTCTTTACTGAGAGGGTCGTCAGAAGCTGGAACAGGCTGCCCAGGGAGGTGGTGGAGTCACCATCCCTGGACGTGTTTAAAGAGCGGGTAGACGAGGTACTTAGGGATATGGTTTAGGGGGTAGACAGGAACGGTTGGACATGATGATCTCAGAGGGCTTTTCCAACCGAGCGATTCTGTGTGTCTGTGTACTTTGGGTAAGGAGAAAAAAAAAATATAAGAAACCACAAAAATTCAACAAAATCAAATTCTGCAGTTCTGTGTATCTGTACTTGCTTGAACACGCCATGGAATTTTCATCAGTAAATATCTTTGGGAACAGGATAGACAAGCTTGGCATAAGTAATAATTCATCATGTCTTGAGGAAGGCAAGAGGTTATACGACCAAGTGAGATCCCTTCCAACTCAGTGATTCCACATGTATGATTTTTGTGAATGACTTCAAAATTCCAGTACCCTTCAACCCTGTTCCCTGGACTAAAAAAAAATGAGAATCTTCTACAATGGACAGACCATGGCCTGAGATACTTTAGATCTTCTTATCTTAAAATCCCTTATATGTTTTAGATCCTCTGTTACAAGACCTTGAAGGTGTAATTGCAAGGGAGACACTAATGAGGAGATGCTTGAATTTACAGAATTCCAGAAACTGCATCTTTGGAGTTGCCCTCATGCCTGGCAATCAGCTATTGCCTGTGGAAACTCAAAACTGAAATTTTACTTCCTTTTTTTAAAAGAAGAGATCTTCTTGCCCCCACCTCATTAAAAATCACAATCACAGTGTCATCTGGGGAAGCTGTCTCAAAAGAACTTCTGAGTTTTTCTGCCTTTCTACCCTATTCTCAAAGTTTTTTCATTAGGAGTATGCAATCTGGTAACTTGGTGGCAATTTTCCATGTGCTTTTGAAAATAAACTGAATAGCATTCTGTTCGTAACCTACTGAGGCAATTCATTAATAACACTGACAGGAAAATTGACATTTTAAGAATATTCTGTTACCCATTAAAACCGTCTCTCTAAACCACACTCAATTTCCTATTTACATATACATTTGAGAATGATGCACAGGGAATGTGAGACTGGATCCTCTTATTAGCAAGGGGTGGCATTTGCCTATTCCAAGCACACCAGCTGAAAACGTAGCAGTGAATGTGTTTTTAATAGGATAGTCATTGTACGTCAGATAACAACTGAGCCTCAAACCCATGTAACAGATGTGTATCTATTACATAGCTGTTAATCCTCAATGGATCTGTTTTCACTAATTACCTGTTATTTAATGAAGATACAATAACTAATAAATCTTAAAGGGAGGCTTTTAATTGCAGTATTTTTGAATGTTAATCTAAAATGTTTACGACGTTTTAATAGATATGAACTTATTATGTTGAGTCACAAGTCCTTAAAGTTTTGAAAACTGAATGGTTTTAAACAAACACATTTTTCAATTCTAGGGGGAAAAAAGTCAGTCACTGATCTTAAAGTCTCCTGTGTTTTCTTCTTCTTGATCTCCAAAAGGGTGGCTTTAGAGGTTGCTGATAGGAGCGGAAGAGTGACTAACTCTGTGGATGGGCTGCTTATTAAGTTACTTTTAAAAGTCCCATTCTTACCCCAAGAACTATTCTCCTAAATAAATTATGAATCATATCCATGCAATCTTGAGCTTATAAATACTGTGTGTCTTTTACCTTTATGTAAGCAACAGCTTCCAAAATAGGTCACTGCTAACAGGCTACGACTCTGACTATAATTTAATTAGCCTGGATTTCAGTTTTAGCTGTCCTCCTTGGCACTATTTCCTCTCCTTTTACCATATAGAGTACTCAATTTACAATTAAGATATCATTTTGAAATGATTAATTTTACAGAAGAGTGCATAGTTAAAGTAAATTTCATTGTCTATTGCAACCATGAAAATGAATAGCCAAGGAGAGGACATGCCAACTGTTCTACAAATAAAACCAAACTATGAACAAATATGGCTATGAATTAACACTTAGATATCACAGAAAGAGCCATATATGTCATCTTAAATGGGAGTTGAGTAATTCAAAAGCTGATGATTTGGAAAAGCAAAGTATTTGAGCTCCTTCTGGTAACCCCATTTCCCATTGTCTCGCTATAAAATAATCTCTGCTTCAAGCAATTTGCGTTCAAACTCAGGGTCTTGGTTTGAAATGTTCAGGCAGAAATCAAAGAGTCAAATACTAATGTCATTCTCAATCACACAGCGAATCCCTTGCTAAGAGAATTAGTTGATTATGTCATCTAACACCTTACCAGTTACAACAATTTACATACACAGGGAAGACAGACTTTTCCCAATGGGCAACAAAGAAGCTGAAATTTCCTCTACATCACATGTACTACAAATGAGGACAGAGCATCATCATGTAAGACTGTGTATAGATCAAGATATTATCTAATTCTAAATTTTTGTGTGGAAATGTAATGCTGAATTTCCCCTACTATAATGAATAACACTATGAACAGACTTTTTTTGCGAGTAAACAGATCCATTTTTCAGTCCTGTAATCAGTATGCATCTATTTAGCTACTTAACAGCAATGTGCTCTGGTTCATTAGGTAGCTACTGTTGTGTCTCAGCCTAGTTAAAATTTCACAGCAAGTTAATCTATTTTATTACAAATGAGAACACAAGTGATAATGTCCTCACCATTTTCCAAACACAGGGTTAACAGTATTTGTAACAAATCAATGAGGGCATTTAAATAGGAAAATTGCAAATCTAAACCCTTAACATTATTTTACACGTTGATGACTTCATTTGTCATCTATGTATTTTACAACCACGCTACTTTTCATATATTTTTTTTTCTCCTCCTGAAAATAGCTCCATTCCCACCAGCACACTGCTGTGTAGCCTGGTTCTGCAGTGGGTACACTCACAGTAACAGAGAAGCATTTCTAAATAGAGTCATATTTTCTCAATTTGCATTTCTTCTTATTTTATTAATTTGCAAGATTCATATTCCAGGTTATAATGTAATGAATTATGGATGTAAAATTTAAAGACTGTGAGAATTTTATGAAAAATGAAAACATTTCTCAAGATCTCACCTATTTATCTAACTATAGTACCTACTTTATCTCATCTTTTCTCTTCCTTTTACAGAGCCGTAACATAAATTCCCAAAAAAGACTTTTGCAGTATTCGATCCTTTCGAAGGGTAATATATTTCTGTCTCACGAAAGATCAGGGTCTTGCTTTGGCTCAGAAAATGTAGCTACAAAGCTTGACATTGTTAATTTTAGTTGTGATTTAGGTTAACAGACTGGAGTCATCAACTCATCCAATTTCCAGATACATCCGTGATTTCACCTCAATATCCTTTTTCTATCCCCTGTGAGGCAGTATTCCACACAAATAATAAGAAACATGACATAACAGCTGCATCCATACTAGTTTATTTGAAATATATATGAACAGCTTACCTGGTTTTGACATAATCATCTTGACCTTAATTCCTTACCACTGATTTTTTTTTTTTATCGTATTAATCTTCGTTTTGTATCAAGAGTTTAGAGCAATGATGCTGCTGGGTTTTCCTTTATTTTTCTTTATTCCTAGTTCTAATGTAGCTGCAATTACTCTTCCAAATGTTAATCTATTAATGAGTTCCTAGAGGATTTAATGGCATTTCACTGCTGACAAGCAGGTTTTGGAGGTTTGTCTGAGTCCTGGATATTTTATTTATCTTGGTATTTTAGATGTAACTGAGGTGCTGCTTCTGTACTCTACAGGGCTCTGCAGTGGCAGAAGAGGTGGAATTCACCAGACCTCACTAATGAAATGTAGAGGAAGGAAAAATGGAGATTCCACTGTCTTTAGGTCTAGATTAATTTTTTTAACTATTTTAAGAAAGATTTAGAGCTGATGACCATATCGGAAAACGAGAGAGTTCGTAGGCTCTGACACAATAAATTTTACAACATTAATCTGCACACTAGTTCCCCACCAGAATTTTTTATTATATCACACCTCATTCTCCCAGTGCTTGCCAAATCACCATTCAGATTCTCAAAATGGACTACACGGTTAAAAAAACAACAACTAGAAACCAGTCTCAATTCCCTGTGAAGCCAGGAGCAGTCAGCCAGCACACTGCCTGCAGACCTCCTCACTTCCTATCCAAAACTATTTCATCGTGCCTGGGATATTGTTGCTCGCATCTCCCTGGATGAATTCCATTCTCAATAAGAGAGAAGA